CCCCCCCCCCCCCCACCCCTGGGTCTTCGGACTTCTGAGAATTAACAGGGATTTTCTTTATGAATTTTTAATGAGTATTTACACTTAAATCAAAGAATGCATCGATGCTCTCGGCATGGAAAGCGGTGCTATATCAGATGGGCAAGTAAACGCCTCCACAGAGTGGGATATGAATCATGCTGCCATCCAGGGAAGACTCCATTATTTATCAAAACCCGGAAAAGCAGGATCCTGGTCGGCTAAATTCAATAACCTCGACCAATGGCTCCAAATTGACCTTGGTAATCTGAACACCACAATAACTGGTCTTGCAACACAGGGAAGGGATGGTTATGGACAGTGGGTTACTAAATACAAAGTGCAATACAGCGATAATGGTGCAAACTTTCAGTACTACACAGAACAAGGTGTAATTAAGGTAGTTTATCGTTTGCATGACTTAGATGCACACTGTACTGCACACTGTACTCATCATTTCTAAATAATATTATCATCTTCATCATCCACATCACCATCACCACTGTCATCATCATCATCATCATCATCAAATACATATCCAGTATTTCATTTGCCTCAAAGAAATATATATACAATGTATACAAGAAATGAAGCTTTTTGTTTCCTCAAAAAACCTCAAAGCTTATGAAAAATACCACCAAGAAGTTCAATATGTGTGCTGCATATGCACAGCTTGATCAGTTAAGAATTACTTGAGCAATATTTCATATATTTTTTTCTTAAATGTACAAAGGCTTAATTCGCAGGGAATTGATAGTTTTCTTTACTTAAGATAGTACTGTCTATAAAATGAGGACTACAACCTGGTGCTCTTCAAGAGAAGTATGTGGTCTTCGGTTTCAGAAAATGATGGTCAAATAACTGAGATAATTTTTCCCATTACTAATTTTTGAAAGGCATTTACAGCTGTGGTTGTTGTTTTATGTTCAGGAGTTTCTTGGAAATATGGACAAGGATACTGTAGTCAAGCACGAGCTCAACAAAGAAATTAAGACACGTTTTATCCGGTTTTGCCCAACAGGCTGGCACAATCATATATCCATGAGAGTGGAAGTCTATGGGTGCAAAGGTAACATCGATGGGTTTTAAGAATTTGTTGAAAATTTAGTTGCATCAAGAAAAAAGAAGAACCAAAAGAAACAAGACCTTCCTATATTTAGACCTTCCATCTTTAATTTTATTTTATTATTGAGTTTGTCAATATCTATATTATAAAATGCATTTTTTTTATCCTTAGACTTCCTTAAATTTCAAATTAACTACAAGCCCTTAATAATTTCGTTTACCATGTTGTCAAGTAACAAGCCACGAAGTTCAAAATATCGCACTAGAAAAACCAGAAGTTAAATTAACGACATCGCTGGCCTTGGCAACAAGGCCTTGCCCAATGGACAGAAGCCTGTCTGCTGGAGAACTCAGCTCTGATAAATGATACTAAATAAATAAAATAACGATTTGGAAGTAGCACATCCACATAGTGGTTCTTCCTCTACCTGATTTTTGGTTGAATCAGAATTTGGAAATATTGGTTTTTGAGGAGTGGGGAAAACCGGAGTACCCGGAGAAAAACCTCTCATAGAAAGGGAGAGAACCAACAACAAACTCAACTCACACATGGCATCGACACCACGATTTGAACCCGGGCCACATTGGTGGGAGGCATTTGCTCTCACCACTGCGCTTTCCTTGCTCCCTACTGATACTAAACATATGGCTGACTTTGTGACCACAAACTCTGTCCAAATTACGTGTTTTGAGCTAAGTTGAGGCCAGAAATATAAGATTCAAGGAGAAAATACAGTTCCAAGTACAGTTTAATCGAAGCAAATATCATCATGAGAATCAGGGGCCGGGATGAAGAGGAATAATGGGTAGTTGATAACTTCATTTAAAAATTCCTTCTCGAAAATTTACGTTATTCCATAATTCCAACACCACTGAAATTTCATATCATTCCAACCCCAAAACATTGGTAATTCTGTATGGCTCAGTCAATTCCAAGCATGCCCATCTTTGGACAAAGATTAAAATAGCAATGTATTGTGTCTATCTAAATAGGCATATTTTCAAGTGAAGTATTGAAAAAGGAACGATATAAACCACTTCTGGAAGAACTGACAAATGTCCCGCCCTCGGGCAGAGGTTTTCTGACAAATCCTCCCACCGCTGGGACCGACAAGATGACAAACGCCCGGGGCGGGGGGATGGGTACGCCTGGAATTGACTGAGCATTATTCATAATATTAGCATTTATTAAATATTCCCCCTTATTCCCCGATTGAGAAGGTTTGAGGCATCACCCTTTTAAATTTTACCGCCGTTTAAAGCCAAAGTTTTTTCCTAATATGTCTTTTAATATAAACGCTTACCTTAGCTGCCATCGGTAGAGCGGTACCCTGAATCAGCAGGGCGTTTCCCCATCACTTCCTTCAAAGGGACAAGTTGTTGAGGTTGCAAAATAGCAGTTTCTTACGACTATCTAAGCACTGCCTTTTTTTGGCCAAAAGTAGAATATTCCAAAGACGCAGTACAAGACCAGCAGGTCGTGCCCTTACTAAAAACAAAATCGTCCAACAACTACTCGGTTCGGCGCCGCCATTACGGGATTTACATGACGTACTCCCCTTTTATATTGGAAATGCCGCTGTGCGGAAAACTTACCAGGCCTACCGGTCACCATTTCAGACGGACAAACGGGACCGACGTTAATTGCGGGCCTTCCCTCCTGTAAGTTCACCCACTTCCGAAAAAAAAAAATTGAGAAAGTTAAAAAGGGTCGGTAGTGAGAATAAAGAGAAATAAGCGAAAGGGTCAAAATCTGATTTAATAAAGCAAAAAAACAAAAAATTGTAAAACTGCACAGAAAAAAAATTTACAAAGAAAGGGAAATTATCCATGCGGAGATGTACGGAGCTGAGCTGAAAGCGACTAGTCTTTGATTCTGCGTCGTTGATTTGATCCATCGGTCACAACGATCGGCGGGAGAAAAACCAATCCATAGTGGGTCTGCCTTGGTGTAACATGAATTCAAAGGTACAGATTTCAGGAAAAAGCAATAAAGGTCGGAGAAGCCCATCTGAAACGAAATTAATTGACAAAAGCATTTCTTAAACGCTAAAACGGCCGCAAAAACAGTCAGAACAACGCCGACCAATGCTCCTTGACGTCAACTGGTCCTTGTTTTAGTCCAAGGGGTCTTAGGTCTTCGTTTTTGGGTCTTCTTTTTAGCAACACCCGTCAACTGGTTCTATGGAAGTGTTGCTTGCATCAGAGACGAGACGTCAGACTAAATGACGAAGTCGCGACATGGTTGCTAGGCAACTCCGGATATCAAACCGATATTGCCTCCACTACACAATCAAACACACACACAAAAAAAATAGAGGAATGGGCGCTTCGGGCAGCCAGGCCCATAATGATACACTTTATTAGCTCACATAAATTATCATCGTAACAGTAATTAAAGATAAATACGTCACAGCCGGACACGTTAACCCTAAAAAACCAATCATTGGAAAATTAGGGACCGTGCCCGTGTAACCCCGAGCAGTGCTGTGGCGTCGCCCCTTTGGGGTTATAAAGCCAATCCGGTAAAACCGTTGTAACATGTATAGAAACCCAAAGGCCAACGATAATGACAACAACTCAGAAGTATACGTCATATTACAACTGCGAAACTAACTAAGCCTAATATAACGATACCTTGATGCCTCGCGCGCAACACCCGACCTCAGTTCTCCGAACTGTGCCGGCAACATTTTTACTTATGTCAATCCTGATTAACACAAATTACATTATCGTCACTCTTCTCTCGGCGATTTCGTGGTAATATGATATGATATGCAAGGTTCTGGAGGCGGAAGGCTTGGACGCTCATGTCCCTCCACCCTTGTAAGATTTCGACTTTAACGTTTATTGATGAAATTTATGTGGTGAATGCTTCCTTTACAGTAAAAGGATGTCCTCTTTATTCGCCCCCTCAAGGCGGTGCCCTGGTGTGCACCCCTCCAAAAGGTACTTATCAACCTTGTGCAGTCATGTGTCGCACTGGCACTGACTATGTGTTCAGCCCACCTCTGGTGTATTTCTGTAGGCTTTCGTCTGCAAAATGGGATTACTTTTCGTTCTTCCATTTTCGTGCAACTTTACCCTGGCCAAACTGTACCGGTAAGTGCTTTAAATAACTTTCTCTTTTTCCTTTTGAGTGCTTTGGATATATTTCAAAGGTTTATTAATCATTTATAAGGCTATAGGCCAATAGGAGTGCCCCATTTTGATCAGATGCACATAATTATCTTAATATCGTATTGAAAAAGAGATCAATCTCAAAGATACGTCCTTTTTGTTAACTGATCAAGAAACTAATCAAATAAGTTGAATTTTTAAGAGCAAAACCTTTATCAGAATTATTTTGAGAATTTCAATTCTCGAAAATTTGTAGTCAACAGCTTTACTCAAACACAAATTGTTTACCGAACGACGCGTTCAACAAATGTAACTTAAATGTGCCAAGTAAACGACAGAAATCTCAGACCTTCAGTTCCTCTATATCGCGGTGTCTGGTTCACCTGACGAAAACTAGCACTGTTTTTTTTTTTTATCCAGTAGGTCCATGTCTCCTTCAATGCGTTCATCATGATCAATTTCCGCCGTTCATTCATTTCTTTGTTTTGTTCATGCGATCCAATAATGTTTCGAACGTTTCTTCAAATGGGGCACACTAAACAGTATTTTTCTCCGCGCGTCAGCAACAAAAACAACACTGTATACTACCTTTTCGAGTTACAATTATGTATATTTGTACATTAATCTTTTGTGATAATATAATAAGAAACGGTAAATGACAAACTGGCAAAATGTGAGATGATATAAAAGCCAAGTAGACTGCGAGCAGTCTTTTATTTTTCTTTGTAAAGTTACTGCACGCGAAATCTAAGCACTCAAGTGGCGAATTAAGCCGCGAGCAGCAAGAAACGAGGGCGTCTCAATCCCTTATTATAATAACAACGTCATGGTTTGCAATCGCGCTGGATGAGATAAGAACTAGACAGATTTTAGGAGAAAAAGAGGACTGCAAGCAGTCTAAAAGCGAAGATGCCGCCTAATTAAAGCAATGCTGGATTTGAACGATCAACTAGATCCTCTTAGTATAAGAAGCTTCTCATTATTTTTTTCTTGTTTTTTCCTTAATGCAGCTGGGGGGAATCCTACTTCGATAAAGGCGTGGAGCCAGCAATATCATTACTATGATGGAGATGAGCATGATCCTAACGTCCAGGCCACCATCAAAGACAAATTCCACCAATTGTTAATGTTGTCGTTTATGCGTCCTATCTTTTGCCAGAGTGACCCCGGTTTATGCTCGAAGGATGAACTGTTAGTTTATCCTGAGATCAACGGTAAATCATAAAGCATGCATGGTCAGCTATAGCCTGCTGACACAGACATATTTCCGGTCGTCGCTCTTCTCCACCCGAAAAGTAACTTTTAACTTTTAAGTTACCGTAAATGATCGATTAAGAGCCGCTACTCGAATAAGCGCCGCTTTGGAATAAGCACCGCACCTTTACCGAAAATAATTTAATTACCGCCGCTCTCGAATTAATTTGGGTATTTACAAATTAACGCCCCACCTTTGTTATAGTGCTAAAGAGATACAGAGGATATTACATGGCCGCGCGGAGATACGAAATTTCTCTTCGAGTGTTGAAAAATATTTCGCGAGTGAGCGCAGCGAACAAGTGAAACATTTTCAACACGAGAAGAGAAATTTCGTTTCTCCAAGCGGCCATGCAATGTTCTATTTATTATATAAACACCAATGAAATACCAAACCATTTCACTGAAACAGTTTTTTCCTGCAAAAGGCGCGATTCATTATGTAGCCATAGCAACGGTGATATTTTCACATGTGAAAATAACATGTTATTTTCACTTGTGAAGTTATCATGTTTTCGCGCGAAAGCTCACCTGGTATTTCATTGGTATCAAAACCATATCGCTTGAGAATTAAATAAGATGCCAACCAACTCGTGAGTTCTAAAGTGTTAATGTAGGAAAATTCTTGAAACTGAGCTCATATAACAGTTAGAGGTGTACATATTATATCAAACTGTGCATACCAAGTACGCGCCTCACTAATTCTCTCTATATTCCCCTCAGTGTTTTACCCGTACTTGAAATAAGCGCCGCACTCTTATAAGCGCCACACCTATAACAACAACCTTTTCCCTGGCTTTGCAGAAAGGAAAATGTAATAAATCGATCATTTACGGTACTTTTCGTGTGGAGAGAAGCGACGACCGGAAATCCGTCTGTGTCCGCAGGCTAGGTCAGCTACAGGCAAATCCTTGTTTACTTTTTTTGCCTCGTGAACATATGCTTATCATTATCTCTAAATATTGAAAGAGTATATAACAAATTCAGTTATTTCCGAAAATTTGAGCCCGACATACCGAATAGTCATTGGGGAAAACGTGGAACGACTTCCTCTGTGACCTGGGAAGTCATGTGACTGATGCCCCGGTGATACTGTGTCAGAAGCCACAAGTTTGAGATGGTCATCGATTAGTCAACC